GTGAGTCATTCCAGGGCCAGTGCAGCCATGGACCAGAGCAGTGTGGTATGGGGAGGGGGCAGGATGACTCCCGTGGGCATGGTGAGGGAGACAGACATGCAGGTGCCAGCATTTATGAGATGATGTCAGAGGGAGGTGAGCTATATGAGTGGCAGGGTGGTGCCTCTGGATCATTTAAGGCAGCAGTTCTCAACCTGGGGGTCGAACGACCCTTTCACAGGGGTTGCCTAAGACCATTGGAAAACACATATTGAATATATAATTACATATTGTTTTTGTGATTAATCACTATGCTTTAATTATGTTCAATTTGTAACAATGAAAATACATTCTGCATATCAGATATTTACATTACGATTCATAACAGTAGCAAAATTACAGTTATGAAGTAGCAGCGAAAATAATTTTATGGTTGGGGGTCACCACAACATGAGGAACTGTCGGAAAGGGTCGCAGCATTAGGAAGGTTGAGAACCACTGATTTAAGGGGAGCGGTGGGGCCTGCCCTGTCAGGGAACTCATCTAGGACTGGGGAGACAGTGGGGAGGCTGCCAGCTACCCCAGGCATCTCGAGCTGGGCAGATGTCCAGAGGAGTCAGGATCAGAGGCGCCAAAGCGAGAGTGAGGGCCCTGCTCCCACAGTGCTGAGGACTCCCCGAGTGGCTGGGTCTGCAGCTGCCCAAGCAGTGATTCTGTGGCCAGTTACAGGTGCCCAGATGTTTAAGGCTTGTGTCTGGGGTGATGACTGTGTGGCTACAGATGCAATGCTCAGAGGATGGATTCTCTCCTGCCCTTTTGAGATTTGATGTTTGAGGTCTGAGACCTTGGCTGTGTGCATGTGTATGTGCTCACGTGTGTGTGTATAGGTGGGCATGTGAGTATACAGAAAGGCGGGAAAGAGACAGTGAGATACAGCACAATTTCTGGCGCACAGTGGGAGCTCAGTAAGTTTGTTGGGAAAAAAAAAAAGAATGGAATGATTCTGACAAGGAGTGAATGAAGAGATGATGAGAGATGAAGGCAGCCTACTAGCTTCCCCTTTACAAAGCCCTCACCATGAGAGATAAAATAGAAGAGAAGTCTGCAAATGCTAAAAATAAAGAGGGAACTGAAAGCCAGCATTAGAAATGTGTGCGTGTCAGTCTTGCGGCTCTCAGCCTAAGGGGAGTTACTGACTCCAGGAACATAGGACCTGGACTGTATGAAGAACAGAACAAGATCCACCTGGGGAGGTGACCCTGCGACCCTGAACAAAGCCTGGACTACAAAGGGGTGAGCTAGGAAAAGTCTGCCCATCGGCAAAGGGGATGATAAGGCAGCTCTGAGGGAAGTCGCCCAAGAATGAGGCTGAGCCCTGTGCACTTCTGTGGTCTCAGATTCCCACTCAGGCTGACAAACTAATATACATTGATCTTGATCTAGTTATACTCTGAAGTGTCTCTCAGCACAAAAAACCATTCTGGGGCAATACTTCTGAAATTCAAAAATTTCCAAAGTAATAAGCCCCAATCAGTATGAACTTTCAGCGAAAATTCCAAAACACGTGAGGGAACAATCCACAATGGACAAGGGTCAGCAGACACAACACACAGGAAGGTTTGAATTCTCAGAACTGAGATAACAGAAAAACAATAGAAAAGAAAATGTAAAAAAATGTACATCTGAAAAGATTAAAGACATAAAAGGAGAAATTGAAACACTAAGAACAAGATATTTTGAAAAAGAGAACAGAGATTTGAAAAATAATCAAGTGCAACAGAAGCAAAACATATAGTCACCACAAAAAAACACACAAAAACTCCGTGGATGAGCCAGGCATTCAGGTTAGATAGAGCTAAGGAGAGAGTTAGTAAACTAGAAGGAGTCTGAGAAAATTACCCAAAGCATAGTAGAGACAGAGAGAAAAATGTTTTTTAAATGTTAAAGAGGCCCAGAGGAAAGACTGGGAAGAGACTATCTAGAGTGGGGGTGGGGGGTGGGGTGGGGGGGGGGGGACAATATCCAAAGAGATAATAGCCGAAAATTCTGAGAACCAATGGAAGGTGTGAATTCTCAGATTCAAAAATCACAATGATCTCCAAGTAGAATAAATATAATGAAATCTATATCTAGAAAGTAGTAGGGAAACTGCAGACTACCAACACTGGAGCTGTTAAAAGCAACCAGAGAGAAAGGCATATTGCCTACAAAGGGCAGGGATTTGCACTCAGAAGATTCTCACCAGGGGGAGTAGAAGCCAGTAAACAATGCGACACTTCGAAAGCTCTGGGAAAAACTGCCAACCTAAACTCTGAAACCCAATTAAGCTAACAAACAGGAGTCAGGGCAAAGTGAAGGCAATCATAGAACAGAAACTCAGTTTTACCACTCACAGACTCTCACTGACAGAACTCTTAATATACTTCTGAGAAAAACCCCAAAACAAAACTCAGGAGGAAGAAGAAGGATATACTAGCAGTGAGGAACAAATACCTGGAAAACCTATGGATAAATCTAAATAAACACTGATTATAAAGCGGTGACAATAGTAACAACTAATTTTGAAGATCTAAAACTAAGGTGACAATAGAATCTTGGACTGTGACGACATGTAAGAGGAAGGGGGGGAGCTGACACTCTTAAGGTCCTCACATCTGGGGGGAGAGGGGCTGTGGCACAGACAGCTAGTGCCTCTCAATGTGCATTCCCTCTTCCTACTCAGTGACATGCATCCTGATTTTCTTTTTTAAAAGCCTTATCTGAGGGTATTTTTTCCATTGATTTCTAAAGAAAGTGGAAGGGAGGAAAGAGGTGGAGAGAGAGAGAGAAACATCTATGTGAGAGAGACACATTGATTGGCTGCCTCCTGCACACACCCCTATTGGGGATGGGGAACCTGCAACTGAGATACATGCCCTTGATTGGGAATCGAACCCATGACCTTTCAGTCTTTGGGCCAACACTCTAACCACTACACAAAACTGGCTAGGGCTGAATTCTGATTTTAACAAGGAACACTGTCACCTAGCTTACATGGTATTTTTGGCCAATGTCATGTGAGCATATATGCTGTGCGCCAATACCTAGAAAAGAAGGAGCAAGCTTTGCCACTTCCCTTTCTCATTTCTGCTCGCTGGAGCTCAAATGCCCCTTTGCTGGTAAGAGAGAAGGAGCTGCCAAACTACTTTGGGCACTTTACTTTCTGTCTTCTTTTACACGACTAGGAAATACCCTGCTGTTTTATTTAAGCTGCTGTTTTTTTTTTGTCACATGGAGTTGAAGCTAATTTTACCTGATACAAAGGTAAGAGATTGAGCCTAAGGCTGAGTAAGGTTGGGAAGAAGGTATATTTAGTGATTAACCTTAGGCATTGCTAAATTAAGTTAAAAGTTCTGGGATAATCAATAAATGGTTAGAAATAGAATATACCAATGCAAAGAATAAAAGAGAAGAAAAATATTAATCCAATAGAGTGGAAGAAGGAGAAAAAAACCAAGAGAGTATTGTAGAAAGTACAAAATGGATGGGAGGAAAAAGTATTTAAGTATATCATAAGTGACTTCCAGCCAAGATCGTGGGTAGGTAAGCACGGTGCTCACCTTTTCCCATAAGCACATCAAAATTAAAACTATAGAACAACCATCATTCAGAACTGCCTGAAATTGAGCTGAATGGAAGTCTTACAACTATGAAATTAAAGAAGCCACATCAAGACTGGTAGGAGGGGCGGAGATGCAGAATGGGCTGGTCCCACACCCATGTGTGGCAGATAAAAATAGGGAGGGATATTTCAGCTGCAGAGGTCCCCCCTGTGGAGCAAGGGGACCTGGCCCCAGTCCCCCACCAGGCACGCCAGCCGAGGGTTCCAGTGCCAGGAAGAGAAGTCCCCATAGCTTCTGGCTGTAAAAACCAGTGGACTGAGGCTGAGGGAGAGGGAGGGCTACTGGAGTTTCAGGTAGTTCCTCTTAAAGGGCCTGTGCCTGGACTTACTCAGACTCACTCCCTCTGAGCTCCAGTGTGGGGACAGCAACTTGAAAGGCACCAGAGACATTTAGGGAGGAACTGAACTGTTTGGCATTAGGATGAGAGCTGGAGGGGCAGCTTTCTCTCAGACAGAAGTGCTGGCAGAGGCCATTGTTCCTTTGATGAGCACTTCCCCCACAGAGCCAGCAGAAAGGCACCATATCTGAGACTCCAGCAACTTGGCCACTGTTTGCCTCACCTTGGTGATTTCCTGAGACCCTGACTTACCCAACTTTTGGACCCACCCAACCTGTTTTCAGTGACTTTACCATAGAAATGGCCTGTTTGGCTCATGCTTCAGATTTTCCTAAAATCTCTCAAACAAGCAGCATCTGGCCTCAGCAGCCCCCCCCCCCCCCCCCCCCCCCGTATCTCTAGCTAAGTGGCCCCAGGCCCAACACTAGCAGTAGCCAGTTTTGGTTCACAGCTTGGCCTCACCATCTGCAGATTGTTTTATAGTTTATGGCCTGTGGCTCTGGGCAGAACACAGGGGGGTGGCTGACCTTGCCTGCACCTCCTGAGAGGCCCCAGAGCCAGGATACCCAGTGGACAGCTCTAGACTACATTGAAGTACCACTACCCAACCACCTCCATAAGTGACATATTCAAAGGCAGACTCATTGGGTACCAAAGCCCTGCTGAAGTAAGTCCTACTCTGTGGATGGGTCCATGTATAGCTGATTCTCCAAGGTGTTGGAGGTCAGTGGTCACAGCCAGTCCTTGCAGCTGATCAGCCTGAATAAATCCCTCTCAGTGACATGCCAACAGCAATCAAGACTCAACTACAATAGGAGAGTGTACAGCCCACATGGGAGGGTGCACCTTGAGTGCCCAGGTGGGGTGATTGGGGTGGCTGTGCCACTGGACCCTACAGGACACCTAACACATTAGGCCACACTACCAAGCCTGGGAGATATAGCAGCTCTACCTAATACATAGAAACAAACATGGGGAGGCAGCTAAAATGAGGAGACAAAGAAACATGGCCCAAATGAAACAACAGAACAAAACTTCAGAAAAAGAACTAAACAAACACTGGCCCAAAAGGCTGCCATAGAAACACTGTGACTCATGGGCCCTGATCCCCTCTGCTGGGTCTCAGGGATAAATTTGGTTACAGACACACACACACACACACACACACACACACAAAAAAGAATAAACAAAATGGAGATAGTCAATTTACTAGATGTAGACTTCAAAACACTGGTTATAAGTATGCTCAAGGAACTCAGTGAGGGTGTCAATAGCATAAATAAGGACCAGTTAGAAATGAAGGCTATACTATCTGAAATAAATAATAATTTACAGGGAATCAACAGTAGAGTAGGTGAAGCTGAAAATCAATTCAGCGATTTGGAATATAAGGAAGAAAAATACACCCCATCAGAACAGCAAAAAGAAAAAAGAATCGCCCCAAATGAGGCTAGTGTAAGAAGCCTCTGGAACAACCTCAAGAATACCAACATTTGCATCATGGGGGTGCTAGAAGGAGAAGAAAGAGAGCAAGAAATTAAAAATTTATCTGAAAAAATAGTGACAGAAAACTTCCCTAACTTGGTTAAGGAAACAGATATACAAGTCCAGGCAGTGCCTAGAGTCCCAAACAAGATAAACCCAAAGAAGCCCACACCAAGACATATTATAATTAAAATGCAAAAGGTTAAAGACAAACAGAGAATCTTAAAAGCAGCAAGAAAAAAGCAGTTAATTAACTACAAGAGAGCACCCAACAGAAACTTGCAGGAAGTGGCAAGAAATATTCAGTGATGACTAGCAAGGACCTACAACCAAGTTTTTACTCTACCCTGCAAAGCTACTATTTAGAATAGAAGGACAAAGAGCTTCCCAGACAAGAAAAAGCTAAAGGAGTTTATCACCACCAACCAGTATTATGAAATGTTGAAGGGTCTTTTTAAAGAAGATAAAAAATATGAACAATAAAATGAAAATAAACACATATCAACAATTGAATATACAAACAAAATGAACAAGCAGAACAGAAACAGACTCACAGATACCCAGACCTTTTTATTGGTTGCAAGATAAGAGGACTTTGGGGGGATGGGCGAAAAAGGTGAAGGGATTAAGAAGTACAAATTGGTTGTTACAGAATAGTCATGGGGAAGCAAAGTACAGCATAGGGAATATAGTCAATAATATTCTAAAAACTAGGTGTGGTGCTAGATGGGTGCGGGATTTATTGGGATGATCACATGTTAAGTTATGTAATGTCTAGTCACTGATGTCTATAAAATATATATATAATTAAAAAAGTATACCACAAACGTTAAGTATAAATGATGAAATGAATCAAATAAAAAAGTCTTAGGTAAAATTAAAAACACCAACAACAAAATGCCTAAATACATTTAAAACAAAGGAACATAGGGATGATGAAAACAGAGGGATAGTAAAACACAGAGCAGATAAATTCTAACCAAAAGAAGATAGCGTAGGTATATCAGACAAAAATAAACTTGAATGCACAATACATTAGAAATAAAGAGAATCACCACATAAAGATAAAGGAAACACTTTGAAATAAAGATATAGTATTTTGACACAGGTACCTAACATCACCACTTTAAAGCAAACACTGACATTTTAACACAACTCCCTAGTAATCTATAATAATAAAAGTGTAATATGCTAATTAGACTGGACAGCTGAACGACCTTCTGGACATCATTCTGGATGAAGCTGCCATGGCAGGGGCCGAGGCAGAGGTGGTTAGGGTTGATCAGGCAGGCAGGCAAAGTGGTTAGGGGTGATCAGGCAGGCGTGTGGTTAGCAGCCAGTGGTCCCCGACTGGGAGAGGGTGCAGGCCGGGCTGAGGGACACACGGACACACACACACACACACACACACACACACACACACACACCCTGTGCACGAATCTGTGCACCAGGTCTCTAGTTAATAGATAAAGCAGGTAGAAAATAGGAAGGCCATAAAATATTTGACTAACCCAACAAGTTTTGTCTACAGGATGTAAATAGGACACTGCATTCAACAATTAGAGAATACACATTCCTTTCAAGTGAGAAAAAAAGAAGTCGACCATGCAGGAAGGGAATCTCAATAAATCACAAAGATCTGATATGGACCATACTCTCTGAAAAGTAGACAGCAATCAAAAGATAACAAAACCTCTGTGTATTTGCAAATAGGAAAATACTTCTAAATAATTCATGGGTCAAAAAAGAAATACTCACTGAAATTGAAAATTACTTAGAACCAACTGACAATAGAGACTACATATAAATATTTGTGAGATTCAGCTAAAGTAATACTTAAGAGGCAATTAATAGCTTTATGTAATTAGGGAAAAAGATTGAAAATTTATGAGCTTATGAATCCAATTCAATAAATTATAAATAGAACAAAAAGTAAATCCAAAGAAAACGTAAGACAGCAAGTAATAAAAAACACAAAGGAATTAAACAGAAAGATATCAAAGAGATGATCAATTCAATAAAATGCTGGTTCTTTAAAAAGATTAGTAAAGTAGGTTAATCTCTGACAAAATTGAAAATGCAGAGTGATAACTCATTAGGAGAGAGAGAGACAGAGATAGATAGGTAGGTAGATAGATAGGTAGGTAGATGGTGGGGGCAGTTTGAAGGGTGATCATGGTGGTGACTGGGAGGTGCCAATGAGCATTGACAGTATCACCCTTGGCAGGTGAATCACAGGTTTTGAGTCCTGGTAGCACACTTTAAACTTTTCAAAGCACTTCATATCCACTGTCTCATTTTCCCTCAATCAGGAAGCATCCCCAACTAAATAAAGGCTGCTACCTCTTAAAATCTTCCTTAGTAACAGCTTTTCTAGTTTCTTTTTTTAAAAATATATTTTATTGATTTTTTACGGAGAGGAAGGGAGAGGAATAGAGAGTTAGAAACATCAATGAGAGAGAAACATCGATCAGCTGCCTCCTGCACACCTCCTACTGGGAATGTGCCCGCAACCAAGTACATGCCCTTGACCAGAATCGAACCCGGGACCCTTCAGTCCACAGGCCGAAGCTCTATCCACTGAGCCAAACCGGTTAGGGCTCTAGTTTCTTAATAAGGAGAAAAAAACTATTCATTCACACAAAGACTGAGGCTAAGGTGGAGATTTTCGTTGCAATTAAATCATCATTAACAACAACAGCAACAACAAAAACAAATAAAAAATTGCTAAAGATACTAGACATCAAAATTTTGGGCAATTAGCTTTAACTGAAATGTCATTTTTTAAAAGCTGTTTTGAACTATGATGCCCCAGTTCTCTGAGCCTCATTCAATTCAATGGAATGGGTTACTGTTGGGGTGAGTGTGGGGGTACCCAAGGGGGCTGGCTGGTGCAGCCCTTTTGGAAAAATTGAAAGAAGACCATAATCAAGGCCAAAGCTATCATACCTGGCCTATAAAATATAGGAATGAAAATTCTCAGTTATTCTAGAGTTAGTGCTGTCAGCAACCAACATTTTCTATTTGAAACTATTCAACCCTCTCCCCCCCGAGCTTTTAAAGGAAATCCACAAAAAGGAAGCAACCCATTGGAAAATTCTGATCATTTTGTGTCCCAACAGCAAATAAAAATCATCAATAGAACCCACTTTTAGCCTTGAGCTATATTTTCTAAAAGAAAACACAAAGAACCTGTGATACTTAACTATTCTGTTATTGATTTACTGTGGTTTGCAAGGTAATGTTGAAGAAAATTAAACGGACGAAAGCCTGAAATGTGTTTTCTGTGGTGGTGAGCGGCGTTTTGTGAGGCAGTGTTGTTGGTCAGGTGCGCAATGAATAAGGGCACATACTTCATCTGGTTACAAATAAGCTGGCTGCCTTATGAAGCCAAAGTCTGTTTTCACCGTCAAGAAGGACAATTATTCAGTTACAACTTGCTTCTTCTGGTATTTTGCTCCAGTTTACAAGGTGTCTTTAATTCCATAAAATTCAGTATGGATGTACTGAGACGCTTCTACCTGCCTGGCTCAATGGCTGGTTTCAGAGCCTAAAAACTTCCCTTGATACCTTCATGGCTTATTTGGTCCTCTCAGAAAACAACAAAACTTTAACAATTCAGAGTCTACACTAACTACTGATTCATAAGCAAAGGGTCATATTGTTTCAAACTTGGGCATTTATACGAAACATTATCAGCAGTATATTTCGTGAAACCGCCTCGTTTCAAAACTAGAGGCACTTTACATATCAACAGGTCTCCATAATTTGATACCCTGAGCTAAGACCAAAAGTCTGAAAGTTAAATAAAACTGGAACACTTTACTTTTAGCTATTACCTCAGGCCTTAATTCAAGCCAATTTTCTGTTATTTTAGACTTAAAGCTTCATATCTGCTTTCCCAATATAAAGTATAAAAGAAAGAGTCAAATGGAAGAGAAGGAAGGGAGGGCTGACGGAGAAATAAGGACAGGATTAAGAAGTGACACCTATTAGCAACACTACCCAACAAAAACAGGAAACCAGCTCTGATTTTAAAAAGAAGGAATTTCAGTTATCTGAATAATTGCCTTCGACGGAGCCACTCATTCACCGATGGTGCCAAATAAAAGACGTGCTGCCCTGTGAGCTTTAGCATGTCCGTATTAAACACGGGAAAGACTCCCCCGCCGCCTCTCTGCAGCGTGCTGTCACCGGGCAGACAAGCCTTCAGATCTTCTGAATCCAGGAAAGACATATGGGCCCACTTAGGGCCCAAGTTTATCTTGGCTTCCTTTGCAGAGAGTTTGATTATTTCTAAGATTTATGGTCTAAGGGGAGGGAAAAAAGAAATACCTCACAGAGCAGATTTATAACCTCATCTTTTTTTTTCTCCCCCTAATAACATTAGGGATGACATCCTATGTCAGAATCTTGGCATGACTGCAGGGCAACTTGGAAACTCAGTGGGAAGTTTTATATTTTGGGGTTTGGAGCATGTCGTACTTGCAAAGGTCAGGCAGGAAAGGACCAGGGAAATGAGCCGGGGAGACGGTCAGAGAGTGTCAGCAGGTTTAATTTTCTGTGTCAATTCTGAAAATTAGATAAACAATGACAAACCAGGCTTTTTAAATGAACTTGTCACTTCTAGTTTTCATGACACAGGGTAACATTTTTCAAGTCCTG